GGTAGCCCATTGAAATTATAGAGAGAGAAAGAGGAGAGAGAGGGATTTAATGCAGGATGTCACAATTGGACAGTAACTGTAAAAAAAATCTAGGGATTGTAAAAATGGGCTTTTTTTTTTCTTTACTCCAATGCCAGTTGTCCAGGGTAATTGTTTTGTAATCTCCTTTTCATGTTTGAAAAGCTGAGCTTTCATGATTTTATATTGAAAATCTTACATTTATGTGGAGAATAATTTTGAAAAGTTTGGGTTTTGTGTTAATTTTTGTGAGCTTTTGGTTTGTTAGGATAATAGTTTGATTTAAGAGAGAGATTTGAGAAGTTTGAGTTTACATTAGTTTTGTTAATTTGTAAAGTTCATATTTTCATTTAAGAGATGGATTTGTGAAGTTTGAGTTTCTCTTAGTCTTGTGAGTTTGTGATGTTTTAAAGTCAATRTTTTGATTTAAGAGATAGGACTTTCAAGTGCAATTTTTATTGTTTAAACTATGAAACTTAAAAATAAAAATTTGATTAACAAGTCCTAAACCATATTTTGGTTTGCATCGAGTCTATCATCTAGCAATTGTTTGAATTGGATAAATTTATAATTTCAACAATTTAGTTCGGTTCAATAAGTCATGAACTTAACTTAATCAAACCTAACCTATAAACACTCCAGCTTAATCTCACAAGATTAACAAGTTTATATACCAAATATAAATTTGACTTCCCATGAATCAAATGCCTTTTTAAAATTTTAATTCATTCAAAATAGAGAAGTATTGAGATTCTGAATATAACTCAAACAGTTAGACAGTTAGATATTTGTCATAAGTTCGGATCTCCACCTTCTCGTTTATGACATTGTATTGAAAAAAAATCAAGAGTATCATAATAAATTTTTCCAAATGTAATAATTAAATTTATTGTTGATAATATTTAATTATCGAAAGGTTCAAATTGATTGACTTTTTTACATACTTGTGGCCAAAATTGATTTTTTTTTTTAATCCATCTTGATTGTAACATAAATTTCATTTTCTTATTTTAAAAACAGAGTGCATTTTATCAAATTACTGAAGACACTGACCTTACAAAGTACAAATAAATGAGAATTTCACAAGGCCAGCCATCTCTGAGAGCAATTTTTCTAAAAACTAGAGAATAGAAAATGACATTTAAACCATAATATATCTTCCAAGATTTTCAATCATTAGGAAGATGAGTTGCATCTCACATACTAATTCTGACTATACAATAAAAAAGGAAATGACAAATTTAAATCAACTGATATTACAACTGAAGTATAAGGGCATAGGGAAATCTCTCTTAACACCCACTTTTTTTTCACACAACAAATCAGACCAATTTGTTCTATTCTTTTGGAACACCTTCCAATCCAAAGACCCAAATAAGCTAAAGAAGTTCAAACTTTTTCCACACAGAGACAGAGAGAGAGAGATCTGAAAGATGTCCACACAATCTTTTGGCAATCCCAAGTGGGTTTTTAGGAGAGGTTAAAAATGAAAAGGAAGAGTACTGGGATTGGTGGGGTCAGGTAGGCATGTGGGGGCCAGGCCATGATCAATCAGAATTTCAAAAGTAAAGGGGGAATTGATGAAGAGTTGTCTATCAAGAAAGATTTTGGCATTTTGAGCCTTTTTGTACAAGTGGAGAAGCAGAGGAGAGGTGGTGTTATGAGCCTGAGGATTCACCATCATGGGTTTTCACTTCTTTTTTCATGCCTCTTCTCTATGCACATAACATATTCAACAAATTAAACAAACACACAACCCCTCTCCCCACCTGATGTGAAATGTCACTTCTTTTTGGTCCACCCTACGCAACTTCTTCCCATTCGCAATCTGTCTGTGCCTCATTCTTCCCTTCCTCTGATCTCCAATTTTAAGCGCTTTCCTTCCCCACATCCATATTTGTTGTATTCTATCCATAAATGCTACATGTTATAGGAGGACCGTTCAAACACCTAACTAGAGTTGTTGAGGAAACAATGTTTGTGTTTGAGAGTGAGAGTGAGAGTGAGAAGAATCTTCTATTGGTGTAGTGGGAGGGTTGTATCCATAAATCATACTTTTGATCACTATAGATTTCGTTCAAGTTGTCATCTAACTAGAGTTACTGAGAAAACAGTGTTTGAGAGAGACGAATCTTGTTTTTGTACATTGGTGTAGTGGGAGGGTTCGTCCAAGTTGTCGTATTATATAATGACTTTGAGAACCTATTAATATTTATAGTGTAATGGAAGATTATTACAAGCAAGAGCATTGTAACTTACGTGTCTTTTATGTCATTTGTTCCACATTTTCAAATTTTAATAGTTTGAAAATGTGGAGATATGATTTTAAAAGAAGTATTTGGCTTATGAGTTTGGATTTGTATAACTTGATGTTAGGAAATCTTGCCTAGTTCGTAGACTATATAATAGATAACATACTTCTACAATCAAAATCTCTCAAGCTAGACACTAGTTTATATATATCAAAATCTATAACTAAATATGAGTTTAATAAACTCATACTTCTGAAACTCATTCCTTGTCAAGTTCAAATTAAACAAACCAAAACTTCTCAAACACGTGAACTAGATATATATAAGAGAGAGTGGAACTTGAAGGGAATAGTTGGGAGAAATGACCAAGCTTATCGGGATGTATTGAATTGTGTAGCCGAACCTCTTTCATGTTCATGCAGCCATGATGGAGGAGTGCCTATTGATTTACTCTGTGGGTTAGTTCACGACAAATATATTGAAAATGCATAAGAAGAAAAAGGGAAATGAAAGTCGGAAAAAAAACAGTTTAAATATACTTCATAAATAGTCGAAATCTTTTCATCATAACATGAAAATGTCCCTTTCAAAATACTAAAAACAAAAAAAAACAACTAAAAGTCTATTACATTTTGAACTTTATATCAAACGAATAACAAACATGAAATTATATATTAGGAGTTAGGACACGATTATATATGTCATGACAACGGCTGACATTAATTTCTTACATAATGACAGAGAAAAAAAGATGAAAATGATTATCTGATTAAAAAAAAGAAAAGAAAGTTAAGCATGAAAATGATCAGTAGCTCCCTCTTTGCTTTCTGTTCCCCTTTTTTTGCTCATTGGATGAACGAGGAATCTTTGACTAACAATTTCAAAAACAATTCCAGCTGCAAAGAGAAACGCTTGCAACTGCTTGCAGAAAGAAAAAAAACGTATGCTTTTGGCTCATTCTCTGCATGAAGAGCTAAAGCAACTAAATAATTAMAGAATTGAAAGAGCAATCATTAGGGGGTTATTGAGGCCTGGAGTTAATTGGATTTGTTTAATTTTGTAATCTTTGGACAATGTTTTGATTCCATTTGGGATTTCTTATGTGAGAGATTAAGACACGGCAAAACATTTTAAACACCAAAAGAGTCCGGCGAAATCTTGTCATATTCATGTTTTCTAAAGATGCTCTCTTTGCTATTGTATGAGCTTGGGATTCCTTCAGTTGTTGAGAATTTTTTTTTTCTTTTGGATTCTTCGGACCAAATGTCTACCCGTTGTTATAACAACGGGGTGGTTCTTGGACATGATTTCGATATGTGAAAATGCAAGGTATTTCGATTTCTAAAATATTGAAATGTAGAAGAATAACAAAATCGTGTAGCTGCCCAATTCGATTTGCTCTAAATTGTCGTATTCAAATGATAAAAATCTAAAGAATAAGATTATATAAGGACGAAGACAATACTTGACCTATTCCTCGGGATCGATGAATGATTTTTGGACACAACAAAACAGTGGTCATGGTGTTTTAAGTTCAATAGAGAGTTTGTCACTCTTCTTGGAGGTGCTTACCAGCTCATAAAAATGCATTTTAACCTCTCTCTTGTTTAACTTTTTTTTTTTTTTTGTTTGTTCTTTTACATATTGTAACTGTGTTGTTGAAAAGTTCCTTTCAAGGCATGGCTTTTGAGCAGTGAATTAAAGTTGGGGTCTATTAATTAGTAAAGGAATCAGTTCCTCTCTCTAAGGAGGAAGAATAGGGAAGATTTACTATTCATAATCAAATCTCTATAGATTTTCTCTGGGGATT